GCTTAGTTTTGATTATCAAATCACATATCAATCAAACTTTCTCATTGCCATTTTCTAAATTGCCGTCGTCAACTTATTAAATCATAAGCTGTCGTGAGGTATTGTCGATCAACTGGTCGTGAACAAAATGTGGGCACGAGAGTGAATAGCTCCTATTCGTGAGTTGGAGTAGTGACCGCAAATACACTTTTGCCGTATGCATTGAGGAAGCAGTCCTGACAAACTCAGGAGCAATGAGCCTGCGGAGTTCAAAAAAATTTTGATTGCGTTTTGAGCATTGTACCGTTTTTTCAAAATTCTTCCATTGCAGTTCATAACAGATCAGTTGATTTCTAATTATTTGCTCTATTGAATGCGATGGGTCGAAGTAGGATAAAAATCTGGATTCTAATATTCACCCTACAAATCAACCCATCACTAGAATTTTATCTGTTGCAGCAGAAACTCAACTGACTGACTATAAGTGGACAACAACTTGTGTGATTGATTGATGAGAGTGGAAATCAATTTTGTTGTGACAATTTGATGTGACTGACGATAATAGTTGTTTCGTTCAATAATTACGCATTTTGGTAGTGGTTGAGTTGAGGAGGGTGTGTGCACTTACTTGATACGTTTGTGGGCATTTTTTNCCGAAGAAGTTAAATTCAGTTCAATTGCTGCAGTGGAAATTGCATATAGGCGTATGTGAATTGAACAGAGAAAGAAGTGAGTCGGTCTAGTGACTGCAATAGAGGATTGAAGTTGAAGTGCTCATTAGTTAAGGTTGCTCGTGCAGCGAGCAAGCTTACAATCAATGAGTAGAAGTATTGGTTAAGATGATGTTGCTGTAAGATTGAAGAGAATGACGAAGGGAACGGTAAAATTGTAAAGGTAAAAGGTGTAGAGGCAAAAGAAAGATGCTATAAGAATGGGTGAACTTCTTAAATGTCTCTTGCAAGAGACTGCCTGTTGTAGTTATAGTTGTATCTGTTAAAGGTGACAGTCACAGCAAGAACGGTAATTTTGTGACACACTCGTGAACGTCATCGATGCAAAGGTATATAGACAAGAGCGCACACCTGAATTATATGTACAAGAATATGCAACATAAGTGATTTCACAAGAAAGTATACCTAAGAATAAGAGTGCTGCCTGCTGCTGCTGCGGCTGAATAACGTGCAACTGAGAGTGATGACAAAATGACGAGCAGATGAAATGAATATTGAAGGTTGTTGAACAGAGGTGCGTGCAGGTGAAAAGTACTAAATCGTTGAGTGAAAATAAAATCGTTGTCGCACTGGGTGAACGAATAAGAGAAGAGGATAAGATGAGTGAATGAAGATGGATGGACGGACGGATAGATGGATGAATGTGTCACCAACAAACACCCGGTACGTCGTCGACCGTCACCTCTTCCTCCTTCTTCACCATCCTATTCGTAATCGTAGCACTAATGGTACAGGTCTGCTGCTACTGCTACTGCTACTGCTACTGGTGCTGGTGCTGGTATCTGTACCACAATTACAGACTGATTCGAATCGAGCGAGGCATTCAATCGAATTCGAGTTGAATCGAATCGGGTCGATTCATTCTCTCATGCAGCCAGCAGCCACTCGTTTGTTTGCTTATTCGAGTACAAAACAACGACAACAATTTTAATGAACGCACGAACATGATCGCCATCCTTCTTCGTGCATCTATCCATCCATCATCACCACTGCTACCAGCACTAGCAATCACTGGCTGATCCATCAGCGAAACAAACACAATTCTCTATTAGATTCATGAATTCACGGCTTGCTTGAATTCATCAAACGACAACAACACTAAAACGTTTCGAAACAATATTTATTTATTCATTCATTCCCTCTGCTANTCATCATCATCATTATTGTTATCATTCTACAATTGAACTGCATGCACATTTTATACTGTTTTATTTTAATTCTGTTACAAACATGTTTTAAAGATTTGATTCAGTTCATTCTTACAATAGAACATCTTAGCATACAATAGAATAGAATACACCAATTACCAAATTAATCATGTCACCATTCTTTTTCATTTGCACGTGCTTGCTTGCTTCTTTCTTCTTATTCTTCTTCAGTGAGATCGTCATAAAAATCATCATGAACTGGTCAAAAATTGGCCAAGTCATTTATTGTTTTTTGCTTATTGCTTGTTGCAGTCGTTGCACCATTCCTGTTCTATTTTTTGCATGTTGCGGCGAACTTTACTTTTCTCACAATGCATTTTGCACGATTTACCACCACTCCATGTTCTCCATGATCAACATCATCACATTTAGAGAGGCGCTTCAAAAGTTTCTCCATCATTAAAACATTGATTAGCAGCTTTTACCAAGAAACAAAAATATTTCATAATCTTATAACAGTGATCGTTTTTGTTTAAAAAGTAGAACTCTATTTCATAATCTCACTTTTTATTCGGATCCAATATGATGACGGAAGCTTCGTCAGTGTCTCGTGTGTCACCAACAGTTTTTTTCCTCAGCTGTTTGCATGGAACTCCTCTGTCTTCTTGGATTTGTTAGGTGATCGCAATTCTTTTACATTCATGTTTTTCCTCTCCATATTCACACCGAGCGATTGATTGATTCACTCCAGCATCTCAATAGTTTCTTCATTTATCATAAGCGTTCGTTTCTACATGCATCTATAATATCTTTACATTGCATTGCATCTGCTTCAAATTTGTCATCGTAAGCGAGTGCTCTCTGAAAATCATCCTTTAGCGGGGCGATTGCACTCCGAATTGCGATCGAATTTCGTAGAGAATAAAAAGAGCGATTCTCATCGAGCATAGCTGTGGTGTCATTCAGGCATTCAGGCAGCACATGAAGGGTGGGGTGAGTGATGCGAAAAGATGGGGAATAGTGCTAGAAATTGATTGGCTTACTCGATTATCAATGAAACGCAAGCGATATTGTGACGGATATCTCAGAGGTACTCACTCTCAAGTAGGCGGAAGGAATTTGGATGTTGTTTTAAGGAATATCGTTAATGGAACCCCTAAAGAATGACTGAAAAAGAAATTACTGAAAAAGTTCCATCCGAAGAGGCGGCCGTATTCGCATCAAGCAGCATTGATCGAGCCAACGTTTTGACAAGAACACCAAAAATGAAAGCGACCATCCGAAGACAATCGTCACTCACAAATATTCCTGCATGTGAATTCAATCGGAACGATTCAACAACGCCCAATAACGTTTTCAGTTTTCCGAATAACAATAATGATGATCAACAGACGAATTGGACAGATGTTGAGGTTTGTAGTGTACCATCATTGCACTTACCACTATGCCATTATCATGCTCTTATCATTATTATCAGAAGCATTTCCACAATCAGTGACACTTTCATGAACATAATCATTAGCATATTTGTCTGCTGACGGTTTATCGCTCTCAACAGTTCGTTGATCCATCCATCTCTATACGGATCAAATCGTGAAAATCAGAAAGAGTAACTTCTACAATCTTCGAAAAGAATCATTCATCGATACATCAGCAAAACAACCTTTTTGTTTTTTGGATCATGGAACAATTCTTTTCTGGATCATAATTTTCCATTTCTTTATTATTTCTAATTGCGTAGTACCATAGCAATCCCAAACAAGAGTACACCAATGGCTATGAAGTTGAATAGAATGTCACTCTGCGTGCCATTCACCTAAGCATTTCTCGAAAAAAATTTTTTGAAAACAATTTTAAATTTGAATTTCGAAATTTGTTCGCCAATTCACAGTGGTGATTGCATGTTTTTTGAAATGATGAACTGCGATAGGTGTTGCACAAATCAATGCGATAACCAAATAAAACATCATAATCAATTATCATCTTGTCGGTTAACGTTCCCACTGTTCGGCTGATAACACACTGATAGATAGATAGAATACACCGCGTTCTCATTTTAAATTTCGAACTACAATTTTTTTGACAACGTGTGCGTGAAAGAAGGAAATCTTCATATTGCTTCACTATTCTTCCTCTCATTTACTTACCACTCCAGATTTGCATCAGCATCACACTCTCCGTTCATTTTCTTGAATTTCTTGTGATGAACTAATAATTTATCACCTTCATTTGACTGCCAATTAATTTTCGCTCTCTCTGATCAAGAACAAAAACTGTTGTGTGCTGCATATATCTGAATTGAAAAAGGGACTTGCCATCTATTATAAATGGGATGTAAACTTTGAAGATGCGACAGAAATGCGATCAACATCAACAGATGAATGGTGCTAGTGCGCAAAATAATCCAGTTGAAGCAGCGATGTTGCCGAATAATTCGGAAAAAACTCAGGCCAACAGTATTGTTCTTGCGGAACAACTTGAATTGGTTACTACTCAGTTGAATAGGTACAATCCACTATTTTCATTTTGCCGAGCACTCACATTGATATATTGCCCCTAGTATATACACTGAAATATATTTGTCAAATATTGATTCCAGCTTAATAGATTCATTATATTTTTTGTATGTCAATGATCTAAAATCTTTTGTTCCTTCTTATTCTGAAATTCGAGTATTTGATTTTGGACAATTCCAATGAATATATGTTTGGACTGCACATGTATGTATATTAGGGCATTATGTTCTCGTATGGAATTACAAGAAGAACTGAATTTGGTTAAAAAACATTTGGAAAATACGTCACGCGATTATGAGGAGACAATGATGGAGCGAAGCAGTGTTCTTGAGGAGAATAATCGTTTGACCGAAGAACGAGACCGTCTGAAGGATAGCGTTAAACATCTCTCGAATACTCTTCACAATATGATCAATTCTAAGGTTTGCAATCGTACTTTACTCATTGTGCAATGTAAAAATCACATGAACACCCGATGTTTGCTCATAAAATTATCATAACTAAGTGACGACAATAAAACTTATTATTAGTGAATTTCACGAGGTTTGGAACAAATTTGGGCGCAAAGCAAATTGATTGAATTGAAATGAAACTTTCAACATTGCAGTCCGAGCACCAAGTTCAGCAGTTACAAAGCAAACTGGAACATACACGACGTCTGTTACAATGTAAGCACATTATCACTCAATCAATCATTCTAATGCACACAACGTGGAGGAGTTCAATCAAAAATTTATTTTGACCAATTCATAAAACTAACTAACACCTTCCAATAATAACGACAGCACCAACGATAGTCATGATCGTAATTGCAATTATCATAGCAAACCAATACTTTGAGCATTATCCTTATTATGAGACAGTGAAGAGTGGATGAAACTTTCAGTGAATATGGAGGAAACGGCACTCGCGAATTCGAAACGTGAACAGACCAATGAGGAACTGGAACGAGTTCGAATAATTTGCGATACGTTAGAGAAGGAACGCGATCAAGCGTTATTTCAGTTGAACAATCTCGACGAACAGGATGAGGAACCGCTGTTCGACTGTTGGATCAATCATTCTATTCAAATCGCTTTGGTCAGCTCTTTTGCAATATTAGCGCTATCGTAATCACTTTCAATTGTCATCATTGTTATCACTTTTACACTCCAATATCCTCATCAAAGGAGTAATTTTCATTACAGCCTTCTCCAAGTAGCACCAATTTGGGTGTGATATTGGGTGGAGGTAAAGGTGATGAGATGTTCTCCAGTGGAATGCCCATATTTGTCCGTGATCTCATACCGGGTAGTCCATTTGATGGTCATCTCAAGTAGGTTTTACTCATTTGATGTCTGATTCGCGTCCAGCTTATATTCTAAGTCATTTCTTTGTCTTTCACAGTGCTGCTGTCATCTTTAGTTGAAACAATTTAAAGCGCAGTTCAAGATCCGGCAATATCTGCCCATATGATTTTTTTCATGGTAACAGCAATATTCTGTTCCTTTCCAACGTTCACATCAACTGTAGTAATAATATTGTTATCATTGTGAAAACAATAGTATTGTCAGTGATAAAAGCAACATTCAGACCGCTGGATTTCATATTGAATGTTAACGATATAGATGTGAGCACGATGGATCAACGCTCTGTGGTCGATATACTTAGTAACAGTTGCAATCTTAAAATGGTAGGTAATTCATTATTTCGTCTTCAATACTTTGTAAGTAACAAACTCTTATGTCAGCCGGAATTGAACTTTTGGTAAACACAGTCGTATACAAGTACTCTTACTTTAGCCTGCTTATTTCAAACTATTACGATTAGCAATTTATGCGATTAATTCAAATTGTGATAGTGAATCATTAAACTTGATTGTTCATTGTCAGATAAATGTGTGGCTGAAGTTCAGTTGAGCAGAGTAGAGAAATTGAATTCAGTTCCTCACTCAAATTCTCCAGCTTTCCCTTACAAAATTCAATCGATTACTTATTTCTTGTCATTGATATCATCAAAACGCCGAATTTTTTGAATGCTTCAATTTTTACCACTGTGGAATTGTTGAATGTTTCAATGAAATATTCTCGAATGAATTAAGGTTGTCAAACGTCGCAATGATGCGTTTCGTGTGATGGAATATTCATTCAACGATATTTCTGGTAATTGCTCAAATGAATTTCCCATTCAGTCGTAATTCATGCCCAACTCACATGCTTTTCATTCGAAATTTGCTGTTGTTGTTCCCTTTTTGATCGCTCTCATGATCAAATAAAACTGAAAATGCTTTATGACAATAGCCATAGCATATGAATCAAACAGCACTTAACGTGTAATATCATCGACAGTGCTCAATGCCTTTGGCTGAAATCATTCTTTTCTTCATTCTCTTATTTGCTGTTGTTTGTCATTTTCACACGTTAGTTTCAATGTTGAGTTATAATTCAAAATTTTGACTTAATTCCAATGTAATCGTATATTTTGATAATCGTTTACATAAAACACACAATATGCAATTGAACCTTTCGATTCTAAATGAATACATTCGATGTGATGAAAAGGCGACGACTGCATTTTGTTGAAGATTTGGGTGCCGAATTCGAGGATGGTGTATTTATAAGTAAAATTGACGAGAACAGTGGCGGGGCTGAAAGCGGTCTGACGGCTGGAACTCGTTTGATTCATGTGAATGGTGTACCGGTTCGTGATGCTTCTCATACAAAAGCACTTCTTGATGGTTAGTGTTGTTCACCTGTCGGATTGCTCCGAACCATAAACGTTGAAATCTCATTCTGGATATGCACTTAAGCGTCGGCCGTTTGAATTTTTCGTTTTTAAATAGTTTTCTGTTGCAATTTGGATCACCTTTGCAAGAAACCTCCAAAATTCGTTGGGAATTCTAGTCGCTAACTTTCGTTCATTTCAGCGAATAAAGATAATCTAGTATTGGGTGTAATGTCACTCAAAACGCATTCACCAAGACGTCAATCAACGAAACCAGCCACCATTAATGCACCACATCCAAATAAACAACGTTCCAGATTTCTCAATAAGGTATCTGACGCAAACTCTTTTCTGAAACATGCGCTTTGTGGCGATATTCTTCAAAAAGTGTGGCTGCAGAGCATGCTTGGCGATAGCTAAGGAGAGGTGTATGGCTTCAGGTTCATGATAAATTGTTTGGACGTGGCAATGGTGCGAGTGGTAGCGATAAGAATCGCGCGATAATAGCACATGCAAATTTGGATGCGTGCATTGGTGAGTTGACATCGTACCGACACGGTTCATTGCGGATACCCACCTCTCGACTGAGTCACTCGATCAACCATCAGTTGGTGCGAACCGGCTCCTTAAGAACAACCACTGCGAATGCGGGCGGATCACATCCGATCACAGACCCACGGCAAATCAACGAACAACTCGATAAATTCTTCCAAAGACCATCACAATCGTACTTTCTTAATCTTTATCGTTCATCTATGCATCTTGCTTGCTTGCCTGCTTCACATCACTTCATAACAGTTTTGGTAAAGCGCTCCTCGAAGCCGCTTATAATTTCATAAATGATGAGTACTTTTTTTGATGAAGTATTCCTCAAAAAGCTAAATTATTTAATTGAAGCACCTTTAAAAGCTATCCTACGGAATGTTTGTACGTATCTGAATGCGAAAACATGTCTAGAAAGTTGAGGAGATGAATGTAAACTGAGTTGTTTAAGTCATGATGATGATGGTTCTGTGCGAACATGGCCCAAATCGAATGAACCGTCCATAAGTAACGACTCACAATCGAATCATAAAACCACCAACAATCGACCATCTGTCCTGCCAGCCTTCTCCTCAACCAGGTAGGTAATGGCTACCGATGGAGCCAACAATAACGGAATCATTCTGCAAAGCTATAATTCAGTCATTTTCCACTCTAACGAATACAATTTTTGCTCTTTCAGTAATTATCCGTGTGCAGCGATCACATCAACAAATAGCAATAATAATAATAATAATGTGAACGAAAATGGCAATGCACTGAGACGATCCACCGATATTATGTTAGCAAGTCCAACGAATAGCCATTTGTCATCGTACACGCATCCTCATTCGCACAATAACAGTAGCTATATGGTCGATGCAAACCCGTATCACCTCGTTGACCATCAACCGCAAATCTCATCTCCAGTACGTCCCTATAGTTGGTATCGCCCACCAAGCAGCATCAATAATCCACCACAGTCGATCTACTCGGCATCGGCTCGTATTGTAACGTCAACGAATCTGCTGCTGGCCCAACCAAAACTGATCGGTATTGCGCACTCGCAACGAGTCAACAGCAGTGGAAACACAAGTACACGAAGTCCAGCACTGCCACAGCCACCACCATATCCAGGCCCTCGATCGAGCGTTGATTCGCTGAGCATTGCCTCATCGAACTCATATCCACTACCTCAGTCATCGTCAACCACACCAACCTCGTATCATCCAAGTTTTTGTGAGATCATTCACAGTCTCTTCATTTGTTCACTTTATTATAGTTATATTACTTTTGATCTGGCAGATGCTTCATTACCGCTTATGAGAAGCACTGTCCTAGACCGTTGTGTTGCTCATGATTGCAATCGATTATGATTGCATGAAGAGCTATTGTCTGTGACACGCTCACTTCATACTGATTCACATGGATTCTCATTCTTTTCAGACGTGTTGTGTTCACTCTCATAGCTATTGCATGCGAATATCGTTCTCTTGATGAGTTTTTCTCATTCACTTCGTCGCATTTCATTTCACAGTTAGAAACAGTTTCTCATTCAGTAACATATACTATTTACTGATTAGGTTAACGAGTGTTGACAACCGAAGTCAACAATACAGCAATCGAATTGAATTGCTCAACAGTCAAACGATCAATTATAGAGTGTATTTGATAGAATGAGAATTTGACTTTGATTGTTGAATGAAATGAATGAGAAATCACCAGAAGAGAACACTTCTGGTGATAAAAGCTATGAGAGCGATTATAACAGCACGAAAAAGAATGAAAACCCTGTTAAAACGAATGAATAGTCTGTTAGGCGAATGAAAACGAAATACTAATTCCCTGACCCCCTCCATCACACCTTGGCACCTCTAAATTATCCAAAATGGGTAATTTCATCCTCTATGAGAACCACTGCTTTACTTTATTGAAATCTGCGATGAAACGAACACATAAATCGTATTATTCCACTGATTCACAGCACACAAAGCAACCAGAATTGTTGTGGCAGTTACGAGCAATTCTTCTGATCGCTTATATGTGGATCGACTTATCCAATGTTGAAATCTTTATGAGACGAATAAAATTTCAGCACCAAGTGGAACAATTTTAAAAGGAAGCGATTCGCAATTGTTGGAGGAAGATGAAGAAATTCGCCGTGTTGTGGTGAATCGTGATGGATGTGGTGGTTTTGGACTGGCGCTTGATAATAATGAGAACGGTGGGGTTGTCATCTCGAATGTTTACGGTCCGAGCAAAGGACGGGTTCATGTGGGCGAGCAACTCCTTGACGTAACAAATTCATTCATTCATAGCAAATCATTTAGTGTGTTCTATCAATAAGCACTTTTCATTTGACTGGAAATCAATTGCAGAATTTTTTGAATTGAATACTTTGCATATGTATAAA